CTTGGGTCAGATGAACACTTGAATCTTTCCCTTGATAAAAGAAAACAAATTGGAACACAAACTCAAGAACGCAGAGAAGAAAATAATGAAGAAATATGTCAATCTGATTTCTCTTTTTATTTATTTATTTATTTTATTTTATTTTTTTTTTAACACATAGCTCGAATGGTTTATTATATAGGAGATTACCAACTCCAAGTGAACGTTGGGTTTTTAACTAAGCAATTAAACCACATAAAACACTTGCACGTTAAGAACAAAATTTGATCCCAACTAAGCAATTAACTCACGCAATAAAGATTGGAATCAAAACCTTCGCCAACTATTGTAAACCAAATACATTTAACTTATTTAAATGATAAAATAAATTGATATAAAAAGTAACGGTAATAACTCAATTAAAACCAAAGAGGAGATATCAAAACCGACAACGCTAACAATTAATATAAAAGTATCATGTCATAGATTTTATAAATATAGAAAATAATAGCAGTTTTAAAGAAGTAATCAAACCACTCAAAAATCTGGAAATATAAGTTCAACATAAAATAAGTAATAAAATAATTTTGTATTTTGAAATACTTACAAAAATTCCAACGGGTGAAGCACAGCAACCAACCATTCATATCAACAAAAGCCATAAAAAAAGTAAGCCATTTTTATTGTTGGAAAAAGAAACAGAGAAAGAATCAGACCAGAGAGAGAAGATGGCTGAGTCTGCAGTTTCGACTGTTGTCGAAAAGCTCACGGGCTGGATCACTGAAGAAGCACATCTCTTGGAAGGTGTGGGCGACAAGGTTGAGCAACTGCGAGACCAACTGCGGTGGATGCAAAGTTTCCTCAAGGATGTAGATGCAAAGCGAGAGAAGAATGAAAGACTTCGCAATTTGGTGTCTCAAATAAGAGAAGTGGCCCTGGATGCTGAACATGTTGTAGAAACTTACATCGCCAAAGCAGCATCTCGCAGATCATGGAACATAGCTGCAAAGTTAATCAATCTTCACTAGGCAGGAAAGAAGATTGAAAAAATCTTATCTAAGGTCCAAAATATTTCACACCAAAAAGAACATTTTGGAATCACTGGCACTGCTCAAGAGGGACGTGAAAGGAAGAGTGCCTCCCCAAATGAAAAGCTACGATAGTGGAGACAGACATTGCCCAATATCGAGGAAGATGATTTGGTTGGTCTAATAGAAGATACCGAAGCATTGCTAAGACAACTATCTACCATGGAGCCTCGTCGCCGTGTGGTTTCTATTGTGGGCATGGGAGGTCTCGGCAAAACTACTCTTGCCAAAAAAATTGTACAATCATAGTGATCTCAAGAAACAATTTGATTGTAGAGCGTTTGTTTATGTATCTAAAGATTACCGTAAAAGAGACACTCTGCAAGGGATAATTGTAGCTGTAAGTCCCGATAGCAAAATGGAGGATTTGAAGAAACTAGAAAAGGAGGAGTTGGAATTGACGTTGCATCAATTGTTGAAGGAGAGGAGGTATCTAGTGGTTCTTGATGATATCTGGGAAAAGGAGGTTTGGGATAGGATAGCCTGAAATCTGTATTTCCAAGGGGAAAGATGGGAAGTAAGGTGATGTTCACCACCCGAAAAAAGGATGTTGTTTTATATGCAGATGCAAGCAAACCCATTGAGCCGCAATTTCTAACACAAGATGAAAGCTTGGAACTGTTCCGCAAGAAAGCATTCCCTGGAATGGACCACATGCCTTGTGATTTGGAGAAGCTCAGTAGAGAGATGATGGTGAAATGTGGTGGTCTTCCACTAGCAGTGGTGGTGCTTGGAGGATTAATGTCCACGAAAAGGAAGACCGCAGAGGAATGGAGACGTGTGCTTGAAAACATCGACTGGCACCTGATTCATGCTCAAGATCGTGTTTCTGCAGTTTTAGCTCTAAGCTACAATGATTTGCCTTTCCACTTAAAATCATGTTTTCTCTATTTGGGTCTTTTCCCTGAGGATTCATCTATATCGAAAAAAAAGTTGATACACTTGTGGGTTGCAGAAGAATTCTTACCACAACAAGGAGAAGAAGCTGCGGAAGGTGTTGCCGAAAATTGCTTAAACGAGTTGGTTAATAGGTGCATGATCCAGGTAGGAACACTAACCTCACTTGGAAGTCTTAAAGTTGTTCGTGTGCATGATGTTCTCAGAGACTTCTCTATCTCTAAGAGCAGAGAGGAAAGTTTTCTTGAAATTTATAGTAGGCAGAAAATTGAATCGCCAACATCACAACGGACTAAATGTCGAAGGCTTGCAATCCATGGTGACCATCATGATCTGTATGTTTTTCTAAAGCCGTATGCCCCCTACTTACGCTCCCTTCTATTTTTCAACACAAGGTGGAGTTCAGAACTCAACTTTGTTTTCAAGGATTTCAAGTTGCTCAGGGTCCTAGATGGTGTTCCCTTTCCATCTCGAGCACTAAGTGCTGTAGGAAACCTAATTCAACTGAGATATCTAGGAGTCGTATTAATGACAAGTGATCTGTTGGAAGACAAGCTTCCTCGATCAATTGGAAAGTGAAGAATCTACAGACACTCAAAGTAGAAACTTCCGATGTCCGGTTGTGTTCTTTTTGCGATGTTATTTGGAAGTCGGAGAATTTGAGACATTTGCTGCTCGACCATAAAGTCGTAATAACGAATTTTAGATTCGATACCCTAAACAATTTGAGGACCCTAAAAATTGTAGGGTGTGGAAGATGGATAAAAGATGGCGGTTTAGCCAGCCTAACTAATCTGCGACGACTAGCACTAGAAGCGCATAAAGAAGAATTAAACTCAGTGGTTTCCAACATAGAGAGATTGCACTGCCTTGAATCCCTGTCGGTAAAATTCCTTCGTTCCAATTCAACATTGCCAATAGCCATAAGCCTTTCTCATTTGGAGCATCTCCACAAGCTCCATTTGGATGGGGAAATAAACAAGCTACCTGATCCACACCAATTCCCACCCAACCTCGTCAAGCTAACTCTGAGGTCTTCCTATCTCGAGGAAGATTCAATAGTTAAGCTTGGGATGTTGCCAAACTTAAAGATGCTTTTCTTGGGAGTCGACTCATACAAGTTGACAAGACTGGTTTGTTCCTCCTCGGAATGGTTTCCTCAGTTGCACATTCTACATTTACAACGTTTATGGTCTTTGAAGGAATTGATAGTGGAAGAAGGGGCAATGATAATGCTCAAGAATCTAAAGATAGACCTCTGTCCAAGATTGCAAAAGATTCCGGAACGATTTAAGTCATTGACTACATACTCTTGATTTGAAGGAAGGGGATTTATATTGGCTGCTCTGTCTATATCTATTCTATTTCCTTAAATTTCTCCTTGTTCGCTGGTCTGTCTATTTCCTCCAGTTCTACTAGCTATTTGGGTTATTTTGCAGGTTTTTTGTTTGGCTTTTCCTAATAAAAGTTTGTTGTTCGTCGAGTGTAAATTTCTGAGAGAAAATACTACGTAATTGAGTTGAGTGTTAATTTCTTTTGTTTTTCAAGCTTGCTGTTTGATTGCTTGAGTTGAGGATTATTCTGAAGCCGTATGTATGCCGGTCCGTTATAATATATTATACTGACATAATTCTCCATCAAATCACTTAAAAATGTTCATAATTTATTCAATTTCAAATTACTAAAAAGAGGAAAAATTGCATGAAACCAACTATGTTTGATTTGATTTGATTCAAATGCCAGATTTGAAATTTAGCAATCCAATGCAGTATGCAAAATCGTCGATTCCATTTTTTGAGCGGATTGGACTATATCTTGAACACCCCTAAATGCAGTCATATTTCTGATGCAAGCCTCAGTCATCTAAATTTTACGTTTGCATTATTATCACCAACAATGACAACCATTTTGTAAAGAGAAAACCACTATATTGTTTTCAGCCCTTTTGGGGCATGGATGAGTAAATTGCTTTTTATATATCCAAAAGACATTTCCTCTAGGTATAACACTAATTTATACTAAATGTTGGTTATAAAATTGTTAAACTTCATACCAATAGTACAAGCAAAGATATACATATTTATGTTTCTCTTCCCCAAAACTTTTAACAAGCAAAACACAAAAGGATGCAACATTACCGTCCTCACAATTTTCTTTGGCCTTTGGCCGATACTGGGAAACGCCTTGAAGTAGTTTGATGTGCTTTTCAAAAGGTTGAGCTAAAGAAATACTCAACTTACCTCGAATCTCGCAACAGGCCGTCAATCTGATTCAGTGGTTTAAAAAATGATCAAGTGCTACCAGCCCTTTCTAATTGGTGATAATGGCTAAATGAATGCCTCATACGGATAGAATATTTGGAGGGGATTGTGGGGAACCATTTTCCAGCAAGTAGCTTCTACTACAGTAGGACCTGGATGTACTTGAAGAAGAAGCAAGATATCTTCCATCCCCACTCTGAAAAATCATGTCATTCCTATGCATCTTCCCTTTACTATTCCTTCCCCGTCCTTCAGTCTCTTCGTACTCTTCATCATCCACAGCTGCTAGAAATCCACTATACATTGGATCTGAACTCTCATACAAAAGCCTGAGCACCTGTTTAATTGAAGGCCTATCCCGGCCTTCTTTCTGGGTGCACCATCTCACAACAGACATGATAGTCTGAAGCTGATCCAGATCAACTGAATCCCGTATACTGGGATCCACTAGATCAGGTAGCCTTAACGCTGATGCCATGTATTTTTGCGACCATTCTACCAAATTCCTGTTGTCTTGTATTGCTCGTCTCGCAGTCACTATCTCCAACAGTAGCACACCATAGCTGTATACATCACTTTTCTCCGTCAGCTCTTGGGTAACAACATACTCAGGATCCATATAACCTGAAGTCATTCGTTCAATATTCTTAAGTTCTTTAGCAAGAAAACATATATCTTTTTTTATTTCAGGCTAATAAACAAGCTTGACTCTAACCTGGAGTGCCCCGGATATCCGTGTTTACCGCTTCAAAGCAAATAGAACCATCTTTCGAAGCATGCGCAAGGCCAAAATCTGCAACCTGGAACAAAAAGGAGAGAGATTTATTTCAAAGAATTTAAAAGGGGTTATTATATGTTATTAGCATGCATTTTCAGAATACATTCCATGCCATAATATCTTAAGACTCTAAAAGTAATTGTAAAAAGTGTCCTTTCCTTTTTGAACCTCTTTTATTTAAAGAGGAGAAAATTTAGTCACAAATGAGTATGTGAACACACCTGGATCTATCAAGAGAAACTATTATCTTTCTTCATTTAGTTGTTTACAAAATAAAAATTAAAAATTTGCACCAAAGAGATTGTATTAAAAGCTATATCTGTATCCAACCATATACCTTGGCACGAAAACTCTCATCCAATAAGATGTTGCTGGACTTAATATCTCTATGGCACAGAGGAGGATCACAATAGAAATGGAGATACTCCTGCAGTTCAGAACAGCAAATTAGGAAGAAAATCTATTTTTTCAGTGTGTGCGTTTGTGTAACTGATTGTGAACAAATCTGAAATCTCATGAACAAAAGAAGCCAGTAACAAGATAAGCATAACCCATGAGTTTACCAGAGCATTAGCCACGTCAATGGCAATTTGGACTCTAGTCCGCCAAGTTAGAGGAGTTCTATTTGGAGCTGCATACACGTGAGTAAACATATTCAGAATAAATCAATGGCCTTAAAAAGAATGTTGGTTTGGAAACAAAATAAGAGAATGATTTTATGTCGTCTTCCACAGCTTTTGGATGCCTGAATATATCATTCGGAAAGAAGACAATCACCATATTAAGTGGGATTCCACCGAGAGAGAGAGAGAGAGAGAGAGAGAGAGACACACACACACACACACACACACAGAGACAGAGACAGACACACACACACACACACACAGAGACAGAGACAGAGACAGAGACAGAGACAGAGACACACACACAGAGACACAGAGACAGAGAGGCACCAAAAGATAAAACAATGGACTTCAAATGCGATGAAAAACACCATCAAATCATCCCTTTCCATAAAGTGGTTTTACAACACCATTCTCAAAGCAAGTGAATTCAGGAGATGGAGTAGCATACAGTGAAGATGATCCTTCAAGCTACCATTTGCCATGTATTCATACATGAGAAACCTGCCAAGAAACACATAAAGCATTTGGGCAGGTACATAAGCTCCACAAACATACACAAATCTACATAAATCATCTACCTCTCATGTTTCTCACTGCAAAAACCCCTTAGAGAAACAAGATGACGATGATGCAATCTAGCAAGGAGCACTATCTCTCTGCAGAACTCATGCTCCCCCTGCTCTGAAACTTTGTTCATCCGCTTCACTGCTGCCACTAAACCATCACCAAAGTGAGCTTTGTACACAGTTCCAAATCCCCCTCGTCCAATGATCGTGTTGAAGGTTTCTGTCGCCTTCTTTATTTCCTTGTAGCTGAATTTTCGGAACATAGATGGAGCACCTGCACTTATTTCCCATCCCGGAGAGGAACCCCAACAAAAAATATTCAATAAGGAATACCAGTCACTATGAAAGCAAATTAACAGGGAAAAAAACCTAGAATTGTACCTTCCTGAAATTTCCTCATAGCAGGAGTTGAGGGAAAGGATTTTGATGATTTTTTATCTATATTCTCAGACTCCAGAAGCTCTTTACTTTTCCTACGAATGAGAACTATCAAGACTAAAAGCATCATTACAGCGACAGCTGTTACTGCAATCCCAATACCTGGAACCATTGTCAAGTGGTAGGAATGATGTTTTTCACTTATGGGAAGACCCAATGAGTGTTGGCTTGGGCTAGAAGCCACCAAAGGGCTCGGAGAAGCCTTTGGGGTGGATGATGGGGATGGCTCTGAAACTAGAAACACAATCGTAAGCAAAAAAATAAAAGAATCCTTAACTGTTTGGATTAAAATATATATAGACCAAGAACCCCATTTATAAAACATGCCATCACATAATTACCATGAATAATAAGTTAAATCCAGATCTTCTGCTTTTAAAATTACAAGGATAACTTTCATAACAAAAATGTATTGTACATTTTACTGGACTATGTGATTGAAAAAACAAACAAGGATCACTGCTGCAATATGTTTCAAGAAAAATGATGTACTGGCATAGATATCCTCATCCAAAGCTTGCCATAGACATTAAAGTTGTTCCCAACACCAACCTTTCCACGAAAAAAATAAATAATTAAATGACAAAGGCAATAGTTGAAGGACCAAGTTCATTTGTAGGGGCCTTCTCTTATCTCAACAAAACTGGATCCAAAAATTCATTCATCATTCCAGTTTACCAATATTTGTCACATCTTACAAACTGAAATTTCATTCTCTGCCAGAACTATCCATACCTGGTAGGATGTTAAGCCCCTGGACTTGAAAGAAACAGCTTGCAATGCCAATAGCTGAAGCATCATCAACTTGACTAGCCAGTGCAGCAAAAGTTGCGTCCCGGCAGGTACTCAATGTTATATTATCTTCTGTTCCTAATAGATGATGAAGATAAACAATGCCAGCATTTAAACA